AAGTGTGAATGTGATCCTATGGTGTAAATGGATTGCCTGCGACTGCGAGAAGTGGTCTGTGACCGCCAAGTGTGACTGGTGTGGGAATACGCGAGACTGGATGTAACTACGTGTGAGAGCGTAAAGAGTGGTGTAGTGGCAGATTATGACAAGGCGGTGATATGACGTTTTCAGAAAGCAATAGACAGTAAATATTTTGGTTGGAGGCCCCCCCCCCTCAACCCCCTAAAAACACCAAAAAACGTGTTCTTGACGTTAGTACTTTTGTGTCTACTGTTCTTTTCTCTAGTGCATTGCACTTGTTTTGAGTACAAGTAATGTGAGCACAAGCAAAATGCACACATGGCTAACAAGTACATAAAAAATTACTATAATCAGGAGCAAAACTTTTCTAGGTGTGATTCAGAATAGGTTTCGATATGGATTAATTGTCACGTTGTGTGTGGCTGCGTTCGTGTCGTGGATGATTGTGGCTGTGGCTGGATGTTCGAATATTTTAGCTCAGTACTCAAAGAATCGTTTCTTTTATTCCAGACGTAAGGGAATCCTGTTTTTATAAAATAATTAAGAGAAGCCTTCCTCAGACTTCAAGAAGCCCTCTTTGATACAAAAATGAATCCTACTAAGAATCAAAGTATGCTCCTTGTTTTCTAGAAAAAAAATATTTACTTCGTTTTTGTCGAAATTTGTGCTTGTCTTTCTTTGTTTGAAAGAAAGGATTCTCTCGCGGTGGCGTGCGTGTGTGGCAATTTCGATTGCCGTTGTTGGTTGCGTGTGTGTGTGTGTGTGTGTGTAAAGGCCTCGTCACAGTTGCACCAACATCGCAGCAATGCGCCCAGTTGGAAGTTTAAATCATTTCGATTTTCACAGCCTCGGAAGAGGCAGTGTTTTTCAGACTAGAGGATTCTTCCGAAGACTTTCAGCATCGACGAGGTTTGTCCATCTCCTACACTGATAAACCAAGTGTGCAAATTCTCGTCAGTTGCTAATGTTCAACTCGGTAGCTGTCCACTAGTGAGTGTGCAACTCCTCTGTCGAACACTTTCTTATCTGAGATGGATGTTTACTGTGAGAGAAATGTAAAAAGAGATAATTGCACACATTGTAAGGATCAGAACCGTGGGAAAACGTACCTAAAACTTAACCCAATTTTGCAAGTACTTTTGAGTAAAATCTCAGAAACCTCCCTGTCATACTCTAGATACATGGTTAAAGAGTATAACCGAGTTACGAATTGTTCGTTATTTTACACAGATGCACTACTTGTTATTTTAAAATTACGAAGAGTACGTTTAGAAAAATCAACTGGACAATTTTTTGTGAAAGCGCGATATTATTGCCAACAGTATAGGACGTTTCGGAGGTCACCCTGCGAATTCAACTTTAACCTACAAAAACAAACGCCCCACCCAACGTCATTTACTCCGGTTCCAGTAGACAATATGATGTTATTTCAACGAAATCTAATCGTTTTGCAGCTGGTAATCTCCGCACCTCTACCCACTAACCCCCTTCCGGTTCCGCGCGCCCCCGCACGCGATTGGCCGCTACCCCCCCCCTCTGAAAAAGGGTGATTCGCACACCTCTAGTGGGAGCAAGTAGCACACAAGGTTAAATTTCAACCGTTTATTTGGACACCACGCAGAGGCTGCAAGATATTCTGTGTACAGCAGTAAAATTACTATTAACATATTTTTGCTACTCCACTTTCGGTACTGTGTAACATTCTACCACCAAGCAAGCGAATAGATTTTCAGCTCTGCCAATCGTGAGTCTGAACCTAAAATGTCCATAAGGCATGATTGGAACTTTTGGATAAGTCCAGTTTATAGGGGCGTTATTGAGCTCGTAAACTCCCTGTAGGTAATAGAAATCAGTTTTTATATTTATGTTTTCTTTGAGTTTGAATCTGAAGCAATTAATTGCTAGAAAAATAAACACGAACAGTATGGCAAGAGGAAGCTTATTACAGTCTAGTCCAAGTACTTACAGGTTTCATTTTGCACGTGCCTTTAGTTTCTGTCTTCTTAAAAACGAGGTCGTATAATCCAGGTATGTTTTCTTTGAAAGCTTTACATCCATTGTTTTTGAAGTAAAAGACAAAGGCGTTCTCTTTCCATTGGTTGTTTGACCAGGCATCAAGAATTACTCTCCCCTGTTATAACATGGATTTACTGGGTAATTGCTTCTGAAATCGTCATATTTCTAGATACGTTTACTCATAAAAATCGTATGTATAGCGTCTAGCAAACGAATTTGTTTCACTGATGAACCAAGTGTTCAACTTCTTAACGCTTGCAAGTTGAGTGTGCAACTACAAGTTGTATACTTTCAACTATTCGACTCCGTAATTGTGTACTTGCAGGTGTTCAACTCGGTAGCAGTGCATTTGTGAGCAACTCTCACACTTCGCTAGATTAGATGCCTATTGTCACAAACTTGTATTTGAAATATCTTACCCAACAGCTGTCATCAAAAGTCTCATTAGCAGTAATGTTGCCTGTCAAATGTTGCAACTCTTTTGGTTTGTGTGGGTTGAAGTGAGTCGTGCGCAAATGCCATCTCCAGGGAAGCGGGCGGTTGTTTGGTTCACACATGTAATAGCGGTCGACAGAAGCAATGAAAGGGCCCTGTTTGGAAAAAGAGATGCAAAACCTCGCCGTTAGGAAGATCTGCAGAAAGGAGCATGAGTTTGCCAAAAGTCAAAACAAAAGAACACCAAATGAGGCCGCTGCCAGTTTGAGAAATCTATGTTCTTGGGGCGTTACGGTTATGGCACACTCTTGACAAAATAGCATTTTAAATGGACATGGAATAAAGGCTGTGATCACGCCGCAAACGAATGTGTTAACTTACAACTAAAGAGTTGAATCGTTTGCCGTGGGTACCCTCGTGGCACATGACTGCTAGGGGCACGAGTAGTAATGCCATGTATCGGTACATCTGGCAGCAGGGGAAGGCCGTATTTAGTGGATCCCATCGGCACTGAGTGGTGTGGCCGGAACGGAACTGGCGTGCTCCGGAAAAGTACACTTAACCTCACGCAAACGATTGGGTGTGATTTTTCCTACTAACGTCATCATCTGTTCTGGTGCGCCCATGTATTTTATTTTTTGGGGGGCCTCGAAATCGACGTTATTTTGAAATGCGTCACGCCGATTCGACACCGTGAATATACTGCGATGAGTTTCTCATACTTTAAGTTTCTTACAAAAGACCTGCTCTTGGTAACGTACAAAGTAGCTGGCACCTTCGTATTACAAACAAATTTCCCAGTAAGTTACGAAAGGCCTCGGCTTTGTATTACGAAGAAGCACACGTCTCCGTCAAACAAAGCGGTGCTCTTTGCAATATGAGGTAAAATCCGTAAAATCCGTATGAGATATGGCGGTTCCAAAATCCTTTGTACTGTACAAAACCCCCAACCCTTCGTAAATATGAAAACACTGTAAACTGGTTGGGGGTATTTGAACGCCAAATATTTTGGCGTCAAAATTTGGCGCTCTGTGAGGAAGAACGCCAACATTTGGCGTCCAAAGTCGCCAATATTACTTGGTGTTCTGAGATGAAGAATAACTCCAACAGCCAGTTTACAGTGGATATGCTCTGTGCGCAAGGAACTAAGAGTGTGGCGCACATTTGCATTTCTCCGATGATGTGAGGTAATTGAAAGCTGTCCCACAGCGAGGTCACTAGGTCACCCGATGCCATTTAAAGGTCGCGGGCGCCGCAGCAGCAGCAGCAGTGGGGTTCCCGGACGCAGGGTCGCCGCTGGGGCGGAAGCGCCCCTCAGTGGCGTCCCGCCCGTCATACTGGGCCCTCCATACTGGGCCCATCCCGGTCATGTGGTGCCCGCGCCTCATGTCGCTCGTCTGCCCGCAGGAGTACCACAAGCGCAGCTCCAGGGACATGGAGACCGAGACGGACGACGACCTGCTCGTGTGCTCCGTGTGGAACACGGCCGGCAGCCTGTCGGGCTCCATCTGCTCCAGCATCTCCATGCACTCGGACAACATGGTGGAGGAGTACATCGGGGACGCGCCCTTTGCTGGTAAGTTATTTTTGCACTCAACCACGCCACTAGAATATAAAAAATTTGCGTGCAAATTTGAAAAAAAAGGGGGAAATGAGGGACCTTTCTTTTTTTCTTCGGATTTTCCAGCGCTTAAAGTTGCAAATCTTGGACCGTACGAGACGAAACCGTCACAACCCACTAAACTTGGAGATGATTTCCTTTCCGCCTTCCATCCAAACGGAAAATTAAGCAACTTTACTCGATCAATACCACTAGTCTGGGCACACATTTGTAGCCTCCGTATCCATTCCTTCCCTCGCCTCCAAAAGGGATTTAACTCGGGAAACTGCACGATAGTTTAACTCACAACTATTCTTTTTTTGTAAAAACAATTCTGTATCAGCTGCTCCCGCTACAGTCACCAACCTTTTACTCGTTTCTATTGGCAAAGTATGGTAGTGTTGCCCCAAAGTTTATGTGCCTCTTTGCCTCATGTGCGCCCTTCGCCTCTGGCTTACCCTCACGGCGCGGTATTGTCGCTGGTCTGTAGTGCGGCTAACCCCAGTGTCGACAGTCTGTCTCTCTCTCTCTAGCTGTAGTTGTAGTGCCTCACTGTAGTGCCAGCTAAAGCCAAGCCAAAGCCCGCCCGCCCCAAGCCAAGCTGATGGTTGCAGCAGACGACTCTGACGACTCCTGGACGCGGTCCTCGTGGGGTAGATGGGGTCGTCCCGTGCCTCGTACGGGGCGGCAGGGCCCACCCGGCCTCGGCCAGGGCGCCGTCGGCGAAGAGTCGTCACCGGGCTCCCAGCGCCACCCGTCCCGTAGTAGTGGCAGCACGACAAGTAAGCCGAGAGCGTGCACCCCCCGCTGATCACCACCACCTACCACCACCGTCATCACCACCACCACCACCACCGCCATGGCCACCATGAGCACGACCGATCGCACCCGCTCACCATTCCGCTTTGCGCCCCACCGCTTTGTCACGGGTACACCGGCCACGCGCCCAGCACTTGAGAGGGGTGGGATAGGAGGAGGACGGAGACGATGAGGAGGAGGACGACGAGGACGTGGAGGACGACAAGGACGTGGGACGTGGTGGACGACGAGGACGTGGAGGACGAGAATGAAGACGTCGAGGACGAGGACGTGGAGGAAAAGGATGAGGACGAGGACGTAGAGGACGAGGATAAAGACGTGCAGAGCGAGGACGTGAAGGACGACGACGACGAGGACGAGGAGGTTGTGGAGGACGATGAGGTGGCAGAGGACACGAGGACAAAGTGACAAACTGATTTCTGCCGCCTCGCGGAGGAAGCCGCTTCATTCTACAGCGCGCCTGGTGCCCTTGCTGCTGGTGATGGCAGCGATGGTCGCGATGCTTGCTGCTTTGCAAGCCAAGGGCATGTTTGCTAGGATGTAATGCGAATCGTGGTTCCGAGACAGGGGATGATGCCTGCATGGGGAAAGTTTAAGTACTACAGTTTTGTCCCCCAGAAACTATACGCATGGAGAAATCTCTTCTCTTGGTCCTTCATTTTTCGCGAAGAACATACTCGTATCTGGGCGATGCAATTTTCATTTGCAGCAGGCGGTAGAATAAACAAAATGTTCCCGGTTTAACCCAGCATATTCTACCTCATAATGCGAGAACT